GGGGGTGGAGGGCAGCGGGGCAGGAGGAAGTCTTCCCATAGTGGATCACTCACATACCTTGCTTTTCTTTGGCAATTATAGCTTGTGATGCCCAAACCACTGTCTTGGCCAGGGATCCCAGCACTGTCACTGTGCTGCTGTGAGGGCTGCTGTTCCCACAGCCTTCTCGTTCACTTTTGCTGCTACTGGTGGCCTGGAGAGGTGGGGCATCTGGTTTTCCCTGTCCCTGAAAGAGAGAAAATTAACCCCTTCATCTGGAAGAGGCAGTGTTGGCAGGAAGGGTTCGGAAGTGGACTCAGCTTCTTTGGTGTTTGGAGAAGAGCAGAAAAGAAATGCCAGCATAACCAGCGGGGCCGCAGAAGCCCCAGGGCCTTTGAACCTGCACTAGCAGATGCTTTAGATTAGTGCTCGGTTGTGATTAGATTGTAGTTGTCCAAGGCCATCTGGGGCCTAGCTGGATGTTGCCCTTGCTAGCACAGAGGGATGGGGAGAGGAGAGTGGTGTTGCCCTGAACAGGTGAGCCCAAGGGCCCCACCTATAGGAAGCAGCTCTGACTCAGCTACAGCCAGTTGGGGAAAAACAAGACTTGATAGGTCTTGTTAATTTTCAAGAGAATTCTCAGGCTTGGGTATTTAAGTGTGGGCTCAAATTCTAGAAGTAGAGTAGAGGGCTAGGTGAGTGCACTGCCAGGAGGCCTGAAGCATGACACTTGGCCCTGTGTCCGTATACTGGGAAGGGTGTCCCACCATCAGAGATGGGACATGGTGATCACATCACATCCCCTGAGGGCCCAAGGACTAAGAATTGACAGATGCTCCTTGTGTCTGTGGCTATGTGCCAGGCCCCTTCATGTGCTTGTGGGTCTTGCATTCATTCATTAGCTATTTGATGAATTCCTATCACGTGGAAAGTGACACTCAGCATAAAACTTTTCATATAATTTCATTTACCAAATAGGTCCCTCAGTTGAGCACCTGGGGATAAGACAGACAGAGTCCCAGCCCTTAAAGGAGTGGAATGGTTCATGGACAAATGAACTGGGAGCTGAGAGTTAAGACCTGGGAAAGACAATAAGGCAAGGGAAAGTGCTAGAGATGGGTGGGTTGTGGGGGACGAGTCTCCTTTTACGGATGTGGAAAGAGGCTTGGAGTAGTAGGGTGACTTACCCAAGGTCACACACCTGGGAAGTGGAAAGTCAGCCCAGGTCTCCGATCCCCAGGTCCTGGGCCTGCTGCTCCCAGGCTGGGCTTGAGCCTCTGGGAAACTCCCAGGGGAACGGACACTCGCTGTGGCTGGCAGCTCTGCTTTTCCTGTGCGTATGTCCAAACGCTGTCCCCTTCCTCGTGCCTCAGCAGGCCTAGTATTGGACAGATGCCACTTGGAACCCATTTGTATGAAAAAGGAGACTCCTTAAATTCTAAAGGTGGAAACTTGAAAAAGTAGCAGCTGGCCCTTTAGCAGCACATGAATGAGAAGGGACACTTTCAGTCCCTGGTGACAATAATGCATCCTGTCTTCCCTTCCGGTCTGTAGTCGGGATGCTCAGGAATGATATTGACTTACTTCCCTGGGTAAGTGCTCCTGTTCTGTGAATCAAGAGATTGTGTTCTCACTCAGCTGACCAGGTAGTGGGAGGCTGAGCGTTTTGACTTGCACAGTGTATTTCTTTATTGTTCTTAAGTGCTAGGGTCTGATTTCCTTCCTGAGATACTCCTCCTTTAAATAAAGCACTGCGACAAGATGATTTATGTGTAGACCTGTGTTTTCACAGCATGAAATGAAACATAGAGGTGGCAGTTACCTAGTTCGTGTATCCAGTCTAGATTTCCAGGAAGAAAAGTAAAGGTTTTGTGTTGACTTGGGCCAATATAGAATTTTTTTTTTAGACTGGGGGTTGGGGAGGA